AATATATATATATATATATATATATACTTGATGAGTAGTATTTCGAGCCAAAACGAGCCGTACACGAACGAACGCATCTTAGTTCATGTTCGGCTCGTTAACTTATTGAACGAAATTAACGAGCCGAACACGAGCTGTTCACGAACAACGAGCCGTTTTGACAGCCCTACTCGTGCATACTCATCTTAGCAATCATCAACAACTTCGATTCTTCTTGGGAATTAATTTTTATACACTTGCAATTGTAATATATAAGAACATTGATCTTGATCATATATATGTAATTGATTTCATAGTTTTATCTGGAACCTGACTGTTCAGGATACTTAACACGGTGCCTAGATGGTGATGCTGTGCTGCAGTGCTACTGCTGCTTTTAAAGAGAAAATTGGTTAGTTTATCAGTCATTTCTATAAGATCGTTGTAAACATAGATAAAATCACATTTATACATAATTTATTTTTGTCCCAATCAGTTTATTTCTTGCGCATGTTTCACCATTCCTGTATATTAAACTAAAAATTCTCATGGACTAATTTTTTTAACTTCAATGAACGTATATTCTGAATCATTATTTTGATTAGGAAAGAAAGCCTGCCAACTTGTTCTGGTAAATTGATCTGACAATCTTTTGTGGATTTTCTCGCTAATTATGTTGAAAAAAGGAACGGTGTTTAGGTTCCATTTCATTTTATGGCAGTTTGGTTTATGAGTAGTTGACATAACCGAAAATGATTGCACAATAAGTAATGTTTTAATCTTAATGAGGGGGTTCTAATTATTCAAATGTCTAGGCTGCTAGCCATTGGGCTCATCTTCTATGTGATATAAAAGTACCCATCATAAGATGAAAAATTAATTTATAACTAAATATCTTACCATTGAAAATACACATTGTATTACATAAACTCAAATCTCAAAATTTTTTATCGCATATGCACAATTTTTATAAATTTATAGATTTTTTTTACAATAAATTAGTATTAGATTATTGCCTAGGTCGAGCCTGAAGTAGTGGGAGGTCGTTTCCTGCACGCGCTATATTGGTGTTATTAAAATATTTTCTCCATAAATCCGAAAAGAAAATTTGATATGGCAACTTTTTTTTGACCCTACATTTCGGTCATTGTCTGATTTTTCATCAAATTTTTTTACATCGTTGACATTAAAACAGGAAAAAAGTCAATTAGCATCCGCTCACCATGTGATCCCTGTTAGCTTTTGTTAATTGGCTCATGCTGCTGTTCATAAGTTGTTAATAAGCGTCTGCTTGGAACTCATATGTAACATTTACTGTACATCCATGATATCCTTCAACTGGGACTTATCCATCATTGATGAAGCACATATAATCCTTGAATATAAATTATGCCATTTTATTTCTACCTGATTGTATATACAATTCAAATAACTTTTAATCTATTGTCCAAGTCTACATCAATCAAAATAGCGTTTCAAATTAATCTCCATATAGCTAGACACCACCATCAAGGATCTTGTACATTTAACTTGTAATAGAGTAATTGAGCCAATGTAAGCAGTTTCCTCTATGATTTATATTTTGTTAGAACTCAAGAAGTGGCTATTGCTAAGAAAATAGCTCTTTTGTCTAAAATGCCAATGTAACAGCTTGGTTTAACATTGGATCTAAGTAATATGATGCAAATTATCTTAAGCCAAGCCTTCATTTTGTGCGTGATTGAATCTTTATTCAGTCCAGACATGCTTGTCTATTTTGATTCAAGCTCGATATAAGAAAAAAAATGGTTTAAATTTGATCAATTTTCGAACATTGATGCCAAATAATTTGTGCATGTGTGTGGGTTTATTTTGATTGAAGCTTAATATAAGAAAAAATGGGTTCAAATTTGTTCACTTTTTGAGCATTCATGGCAAATATTTGTGTGTGTGTCTTTACAGTCCAAACCTGCTTGTCTATTTTGATTCAAGCTTGTATAAGAAAAAAAAAAGGGTTCCAATTTGATGCTTTTTGAGCATTCATGGAAAATATTTGTGTTTGTGTATTTTGATTCAAGCTTGATATAAGAAAAAAATGGGTTCCAATTCGATCACTTTTTGAGCACTCGTGGTAAATATTTGTGTGTATGCGCGCACGCGTGTTCGTGCTCGCACGCATACACGTGGGCGTGTGTGTCGGCACGCACGTGCATGCTGATAAAGAAAAAAATTCATAGAAGATTTCCAAACGTTTACTTGGAAAATTTGAAAAGAGAAAAATTTTTGGTATAGCCCAATTAAAATGATTTGCTTTTGTATATCTTTGATTATAAGTAGTTTTTTTTTTTTTTTGAGGAAGCATTGTTACAATTAATAAACGAGTTGTGCAAAATGAATCCCATAATAAATGCTGGTAGAGTCTTGAGGCAGTTGACTTATATTCAAGATATCACTGGTGTTATATTCGACTATATTTCTTGCATGAGAGAGAACCAGAATTCAGAAGTATGGTATAATAACTAGTTTGAATGTTGTAAGGCAAAGTTGATGTCAACGAGGTACATCAATCTTATGGTTGATGGCGTGTGTTGGTGTTATTGGCAATGGCAGATGAAGATGGGTTATTGATGTTAATGACATGCTTCATCATATAAGTGATGACATATATTGATGGCGTGTATCAATCTTATAAGTAATGGCACACGTCGATAACATGTATTGATCTTGAAGGACATGGCGGGCTACAAAGTCAACAAACATCAGTGTAGTTAGTTAACAATGGTCAGGAGACTACATTTAGGTGGTGATGATCAAATGACTGTATTAATTCAACAATGATTGAGAGAGATCATAATTAAGCAAAGATGGTCGGATGACATAAATCATGTGATGGTGCTCATGCGACAATGTTGAGGAGATTATAATTAGATGATGATGATTAGGAGATCATGATTGAGTGATGTTTATCATGTTTTCCTTGATTTTATAGCTATGGTTGGGCACTCATATCATAGTTAAGCAATCGTGGTTGAGTGGCTGTAGTCAGGCGTAGGTGGTTTGGAGGTCATAGATGGGCAATGGTGGTTAAAAATCATGATGTTTGTGCCATGGTTAGATGTAAGTGTTATGGTCGGGTAAGGTGGTTTGGTGATAGAGGTTGAGTTGTAAGTAATTTGGTAGTCCCTGATGTGCATCGCCATTGTTAGCAATGATTGGTGATGAGGTCGGCTATGGTGGTTTGATAGTGTTAGTAGTTTTATAGCAGCAGTTGGTCCATATCGATCTGATGTCAGTGGTTAGGTGATGGTTGGTTGGACGATTGTGGTCAAATAGCATAGGTCAATAACAATCTGATGACAGATATTTGGTGACAGTGATTTGATGGTAATAATGGTCGGGATGTGGGGACTTGATGGCAAATGTCGGTTGGCAGTAGTTTAGCGACTAATGTTTGGCAATGGCCCGACAGTGATAGTGGGCGATGGCTTGGATGTCGGGTGGTGGTTTAATAACAATGATTAGGTGACTTTGGTCCAACGATGATGGTCAGGTGATAACAATGCAAAAATGATGGCCAGGTAGCAGCTGTTTGGTGATAACTGTAAGGCAACGACGATTCATTTGTTTCATGGTGTTCAACATTTGTTGGCTATGATAAGTGATGGGATCGACGACAATGGTTGAGTTGTGGTGGTTATATGGAGGTTGAGTGGAGACAATTCAGTGGCGGCGGCTTGGAAATGATGTTCTACCACTGATAGTTCGGTGACCATGGCCAGACAATGACAGTCTAAAGTCGGAGGTCATGTGGGCTATGGGATTCTTTAGACCACCGAGCCATTTCTAATCTCTAATCTACCATACCTTTATTTAGAGAATGAGTATTTATTTATAGATTTGTTTTAAAAAGCTATTTGAATGGCCCAAAGTAATCCCTTTTAATTTTATGTTATTTTTTGAATGTTCAAATGTTTTAATGTTATAAAATTTAAATGATCATTTATTCACTATATTCGTTTCATTGAAACATTAGATTTGATTATAAACTTACAAGATTTATAGATCATTAGTCCTCATCCCTCAAAATTCTCAACTCAGGCGATGCCCCATGATTTGTGCACGATCAAACGGATTTTAGGGTGACATCAATATTAATTCAAATTAATACAGAAACATTTCTTTGTGCACTTCTACATTTGAGCATGTATATTTTGATTTGATTCTGACCTAGCTTGGTCTAATTAAAACTTGTCTCAAATCCATTTTGATTCAAGAGCTAAGATGGACTCATTATCAGCTTGTGAACTTTGATTTAGCTAAAAATCTATCAAATTTTCGACCAATATTTAGCCAAATTCACATCATGTTTTCTATGATGAATGCCAAAGCTCCTAAGCACCAGGCTAAGATGAGCTGCTTTGCTTCTAATTGTAGTCTCTCTTATAAAAACTCAAACCGAGCTTACGACGTGGGTTGGTCCCGCAATTACACCTCCTTTTGATACCGAAAACAAATTCACCTTATCCTCAAAACAACTAACAGCAGGCTAGAGCAGCTAAGCTCACCAGAGGCTAAAATCTCTTCCACAGCTTAATCTAGCAGGTCAACAACCCTTACGAAATGGGATCGGAATGCTGCAAATGCTCATATATTAGCTGGACACTGACTTGACCAAAACGAATTAAGCATTTGTTAATGATACATCATCCAATTAAAATCTAGCACATAACGTCACCATTCCATTGCAGTACTGATTTTCATGTGCCTGCCACGTTCTCGTGGACGATAAACAAACTATAATATAAAATTATGACTAAGTAAACATGATCACAAAAATTATACAGTTATTGGCCAGCAAGGAAGCCTGTGTTAGCCTTAAAAAAGTCTCGAGGCTAACCAGTTGATGTCTGGTAGTTTAGGATTATGGTACAGTTTCGCTTAGCTGTTCCTCACTTGCAAGGCTAATTGTTATTTATTTTCTTGCTTATTCCCAAAAGAAAAATATTCATTTCAGTACAATCATTTGATCAAATTATGCTTCTCTTCAATGTATACTATCGTGAGACCGAGTTTTTATAGATTTATGTACTATTATTGTAATAAATATGATTATATGATTATATGTTGGTAATTATACTCGTTGTTAGGTGAAATTAAATTATTACAAAAATAATCTCGATATTTATGAGCATTTCATTTTTATTTTATTTTTAGTTTGCCCTTTGCATCCCAGACCACCAGGGTTTAATCCATAACCTCAACATCAAATATGCCACCTAATCATTATAGGTAAGTAAAGGTAGGTTGCATTAGATGTATAATCTAAAACTGTTTTATTCTAATCTTAGTCTTTAGATAACAACTTCTTGATTTATTTTTCAATAAAGAAGTTCTAGACAAGTTTGTTTTTCTGCCTTTCGTTTTTTTTTTATTTTTTTATTTTTTTTTTGGAAAATTTACATACAACTTAAACTTTAATTTTTACATATATGCCACCTTGTTTATGCATATTA